GTTGTAATATGTGAATCCAGCACGTCTTGCACTCGATTTGTTTCCTCGCATTCATCCCTTACCAGAATTTCGAGGGTTTCACGAGTTATTGCGGTTGTTGCTTGAGAATTTCGTTTTCTTTACGAATGTCTAAAATCTTAGTCCAGACGATTTCTCTTACAATCTCGGAGGTAACCGAGCTAAGGCATTCAATTATTCAATTCAAGAGAGTGTTAGGAAAGAGGATTGAAACTTTTCACCTCGCTTTCTGAAATACTAGTGTATTACTAGCCACAGTGCTCGTCGCCTTGATTTGCCTCAGTAGTCTCATACTTTATTTTAATGAGTAGTACAGCATCTGTCGATTATAATACGTTTTAAGTTCTTGGAGGCGCATGTCTTCTTATGAACACTCGGTTTTGAAGACACCTTTTTTGATGGATGCAGGTTTTTTTTCTACTAAGCGTATGTTGTTGTGCGTTAGCTCAAATCTCGTTGATTTCAAAAGTGGTTTTACTTCATAAAAGGTCTCCAAAGAGCGCTTTGAGAACGAAAAAAGATGACCTTTCGAACCTTGTATAGAACAAAAACGAAAAAAAGTGGAGAGGCTCTAAGCCAGAAAGCTAAATGAGTAATTCCGTTTGATTTCTTGCGACTGAGACGATACATCAGGATTTTCCCGTGTAGACATCATCAATGTTGTTTTTTCTCCTGTGTTAGTGAGAAAGGCAAATGACAAATGACAGTGGTAATGAGGAGTGCTTTTGGATTTTTAAGTAAGTTTGGCTTGAGGAAAATGAAAGGAGATAGTTTTGTTTTAGAGACTTTCCTTCAAGGAGAGTGTTTATAATTTCGTCGATGATTTGTTCCCGTTCTTTTCTTATAAATAATAAGAATATATCTCATAATATCTTGTTATTAGGCGTTTTGAACGACAACGAAGGCGTCTAAATCAACCCAGTCCTGGACCTCTACCTACTATCCGACGTTAGCTGCTAAATATCTAATTGCTGGATCATTGCTTCGACTAGTCTTTCTCTTTCCTTACTGTTTTGGTAATCGAGTTTCTGCTTTTGTTGTTTTCCCCCCACCATCGATTTTCCGAATTTTTCCCTATTCAGTCTTTCTTAAGTGGTTTTATCAATAGATTTACCACTGTACATACTAGGTGGCTTTTTTGAAGTAATTGTTAGTAAGTAACGACTTTCATTTGAGAAGCTTGTGTGAAAACTTTACCTACTGCTCCAAAATATGCATATTTAGAAGCTTTTATCATTGGTTTAAATCTTAACTTCGAAAAAATTACAGAAATATCTGAGTTTTGAGTTTTCTTATCGAAGATCTGCAAAAGTAGATGTTAATGGTGTTTTTGTGGACATCATTGTATCCTGGTAGATGAAATATCGCTGCTCATTAGTTATGTTGCCCAGGATATGAGGGTTTGAGCACAATTTAGGAAACGACGATATATGGGCTCTGACTTTTCAAGATTTCCCCCTATTATAATCCGCAGAAAGTTGTTTCATTGGTTAAAAAAATCTACAGGACATTTTGTTATGACTTTATGAAGTTCGTGTTTAGTTAAAATGTTTTTTTCTTCATAAATCAAAAACTTTAATTATCTCGAGATTGTACTCAGTCTGTTAACTCTTTATGGGTGGTCGTGGTTTTCGGCTGGCGGGCGGTTCGGATGGCTACGAAGAGCGAGTAGAGGACGATTTGTACGATCACCAAGAGCGACTAATAGGCGGTTTCGACGGCTGCCAAAAGCGATTGGTAGGCGGTTCGAATGGCGGCTACGAAGAGCCACTGGTGATACGCGCTGTGGTATTAATGTGGTAGTTTTGTACTAAAGTTTGAAGTTTATCGTCACTAGAAGAGGTTTTATCTAGTTAATTACAAGACCCGTCAGCAAAAGTTTTTTATTGTGCAGATTCCTGTACTTCTAGCGTTCCATTCGTTTCTCGTCTTCTTGAATGACACAGAATACTAGTCAAGCATGTCTCCTTACAATCTCGAGAATAGCCTGGCTGTGGCGTTCCGTAGGGAGTTCTTTTTGACTGCCGGAGAGTGTTGGAGGGTGGAGCCCGGCTCCACGCACGTCGCCACAAACATCACAATACTCGACCAGGGCGTCCGTGCCCGACGTAGTCCTAACGGAATTCACTGTTGACTATACACCTGTAGGCTTAGTGTAGCGACTCGTCAGTTGCATCATCTCCGTCCATAATCTTTCTTCGCCTTCATATTTTTGGCTCTTTTTTGAGGTTAAGTTCTTATCGGACGAGGGTGGAGCTCGGCTCCACGTGCGCCGCGACAAGCATCACAACCACTCGGCTACGGCGCTTTCCCCTTACCCACAGAAGACGCACGTTTCGGGGCAGTATATTAGTAGAAGCTTCTGGAGGAGATTCAAATACGTTACCACGAGAAGTGGTACCGCTTGTACTCATTATAGTGTTCTTCCTCTTGAATTCTATGTCAAGTTTATTCTTTGGATCATACAACCATCACTTGGTTCGCATGACAAGTGGTCTAGAAGTATACAAGAAGCTATGCTCTGTAAATGATAGAGCATAACAGAAGAGGTTCAGCCTAACGGGCGCCGCGACGAGCATCGCAACCACTCGGCCACGGTGCCCCCGTCGTTATTATATTGTCGCACTACTCGGAACGAAGTGGAACACTCGTGGCGGCTGAGAAGATCTACCCAATAGTGAGCGCCGTGGTTTATGAGCCACTTCTCACAGTAGGTAGTATTGGGATTGAAAGTTTTGAAGGTCGGAGTAAAGATTGTAGGGTGGACAGAGCTTTTCCGGCTCTCACAATCTTTTTCTTGGATCAAGAATGGCCAAAAACTAGTGGGGATAGTTCCTTCATCGCTGCTTGGCAATGGAGCAGCCGATGGCTACAATATTTCCACTACTCTGGGATACCTGAAAGATTTTCCATCTTCGCGTAGGTCAATCGGCTTTGGAGAATTAGGAGCTTTTCCATCAGCACGTCACCCCCTAGGTTAGGTTTCGAACGAACAGATTCAGGATACCAAAATAGATTCCGCCGATGCGAAAGCTTTTGCATCGTCACGCCATTCTGACAATGTTCGTTCTCAACGAACGGATTCAGAAGAATGATCAGAGCTGTAGAAGGAGTCTGTCAAGCAAGAGGCCACCATACAGTCGGCTAGCCACCGTCGATATTGCGATGGCCATAGTGGAAGACGGCGCGCCCGAAAACACAACAGTAGGGAGAGTACGGCCGTTAGCAAGAGGCGAAAAAACGCGAAACTTGAAGCACACAGTAAAAAGCGATAGGAAGCCTGAGAGGTCAAGGGTTTTAAGCTGGGCCACCCAGAATATTCCAGAGCCAGTCCACGGCCAATGACTCACCTGTGTTCCGATTTCGAGCCGGCGACCCGACTGAAAACCGGATGCCGGCATTTCGAGCCGACAAAAGCCGATTTGCAGGATGAAGATATGATCATGGAAGAGTACAACGCGGAGGCATATTTAAACCATCGAAACGGGAGATCGAAGATCACGAGCGAGGTCATCGGCCTCTCACTGAGCTCCGAAGTGTGCCATGGGCCCAGTTTTTGGTCCTTGACCTAGCCGGCCCCTTTCAAGCTTTTTAATTCCGTCTGAAATTTCGTAGTTTTCGTCTTCTCGTAGATAATGTACTTGTGGCTACTAGTCGTGTTTTCGGTGGAGTCTTCATACTTTGCGGCCATCACATTCGACTCACTCCTCGGCCTCTCAGCTACCGAACATTGGGTTCTCAAGCAAAATCCCGATCACATCGGAGCCCAGTTCAATGGAATTTTAAGCTGCCCTAAAAGCCGAAAAACCGTCATTTTCATGATTTTGTCCAGTACCCGGCTATAGCCCGGGCTCTGGGCTAAGCGAGATTTCGCTCAAATTGCCGAAAATGACGAATAATCGGAAATTCGCGATTTGAAGGTTTTAGATTTAGATCAAAGCCCCATGCCTGTCTCCCGAGTGGTGTGGAGCTATGAAGTGGTCATAGTTATAGAAAGAAACATAATTTCCGCGACAATACAGAGGGCATATCTTCATTGCTGATTAAGCATATAGCACAAAGTTGTCAATTAAAACCTATAATCAAACATTTCGACGCATTTTAACCTTAGTCAGATTTAATGATTCGAGTCGATCGTCCACTGTGTTTATCCTTGTTGTCAATCTTTGCCTTCGTTTCTTTCGAGTCAAACCTTCTTCGGTGTATCATTGCTCATTTGGCGAATTCACAGAAAAACCAAGTCACCTTATTTATATTTACTTATATTTCTATCTTGTTTATCTTTCAGTTTTCATGTCAAGAATAATTCAACTTTTACTTTGCTGAGAATAAATAAATAATCGAGTTTTGAGCTCAGATATCACTAAATAAACCCTCCAGTTTTGATATCCTCTCATTTCCATGCAATATCCAAAGGTCTTTTGATTTAGTAACCTACGAAACAATGGAATAATTCTAAGTTCAACTTTCTATAAACCTCGACATAATTAATTGATATATGAAAATCGAGAAAACTTATCTTGATAAGCTGACGCGAGGTTGGTAAAATTAGTCGTAGTAATTCGGCTGACGTTTTGGCGACCCGCCTTCTTCAGAGCCTGGGGGTATTAGTATAGCATTAGTATAGCTAGTTAGGTAGTATTAGTCTGTTTGAATGATTCGGAGGATCTTATTTATGTGCTGCCCAGGGTTCAGTTATAAGGTCAATTATAGTTTGTGCGAAGCGATGATGTGCAGCAGTTAAATGTGAGATCTCGACCCCAGGCCAGCTTCAGAGTATCTGTTTTGATTGTTCCACAAAGCCCTTGACATCTACTGCGAACGTGGCATTAGCTCCTCATAGATTTTATTCAATACGACGTGCTTTGAGTGCTGTTCAGCCAATGGGTCTCCAACACCTCATCTTGTGAAATTAAGATTTCACAGCACCTCGTTGATGGCAAAAATTCATTCTTATAAACGCTACCATCAACAAAAAAGGAGCCGTGGTAGTGCAGTGGTTAGCACGCGACCTCTGGAGAAGGTGAGATGCGCGTCGATTCCCGCCTGAGGTTCAAAGTCTTGTAAATGTCTCAACATTATTGGGTAATGCTACCCAGTATTGAACAGAGCATCACTTCACTAGATGTTTTTGATCTACCGCTTCACTAGTAGTGTTATGATGGTAGTTGTATATCCAAGACTACTGAATGAGATACAGAGCTTTGAACCTGCGTCTCACCTTTCCCGAGGTGCTCTCCAACCACTGCACTACCGGGGCTCCTGCTTTAGTTTCGCTCGCTGATACTACACGGAGTTAACCTGTCACAGAAGAAATCTAAGCTAAAATCTTTTTGTGGAGCAGTAGATATAAGCTTGTTTCGAATCTGTGTGATATCATTTTTCTTGGAAAACCGAAGAGATTCTTGACAATGATTACTTCTCGTGGTCCTTTTAAGGGCTTTTGAAGACATTTTTATGAGAAATAAGTCTTCTCGAAGTAGTTTGTATGAGTTTTCCTGGTCTACTTTATACTGTGAGTGATGTCGTGTCGCTGTTGTTCCATTATCGCTTCTACTCGTTTTTTTTTCGATATATGTATCATTTAGTAGACTTTTTCGTAGCTAATTTATCCGTTCGTGATGGTTAATTAGGGCTGATTTCGATTTTTTTTTCTTTACATCTCTCGTTTGAATAAGAAATGAATATTTGGAGAGTTCCCTTTGTTCTCAAGTTTTATTTTGTAAGTTATGGATGTCTATCCACGAGAACTCCTTTTTATCACTTTCAATGTATAGGGCTTCAGGTTTAGTCCACCAATGAGAGCGTTATAGTCATTTCTGGACTTGACAGACTTCATGGATGCTTCGGTTGTCGCTGATCGCAGTCCATAGGTCATCGCAGTTCTGTCGACGGCCTATGTCAAGAAGGTGGTAATCTTCCCAAAATCCTCACAGTAGAGGATATCAAAGTCACCGATCGAGCACATCACCGGGCTTAAGGTTAGTAATTTACTCTGAAATATCGTCAACTAGCAAGGTTTTATTAATTTTTACTTCATTCTAAACGAGACCTCGTCGTAATTTACTGTGGCAGAATTCAGCACTTTTTCGATTCGCCTCGGTTTACTGCTTGAAGATTTGGTGTTGTCTATGAACTGCCGTGGAATTCCGCTCGAGACGATTCTATTTGCAGTGATGAAGATAGCCGAACTAGGGTGTCCCCCGGGCGTTTCATCTGATCATTGCAAAGAGCGTTGGAAGGGAGAGGGAGCGGAGGCTCGAAACCAGCGTCACGCTCATCACCTTACTTCTCGATGCACGCATAACTAACCCCTGCTGCACTGCCCCCCCCCCCCCCTAACATTTCGAGCTTTAACTTATTTAAAAACTCCGTGAATAACCGATGTAGGCAATAAATTGGCAGGACACATAGTTTTTTGTGCGAAAACCTATCTCACTTGAGTCTACTCGTTGTGACTCGTTAAGTGCATATTATAAGGAACAACTGTTTTGGACTCTCGGGTTAAGGCACTGCGGCTCTGAAATGACCTTAGGACTCCACGGACGTAAGCACAATGAGAGTCTGTAAACAGTCTTGCATTATCTACAAGAATTTTTATTCTATTGCTTTGATAGTAGCATCATGTCACGATTACATATCCAAGATTGCTGCATGATATCCTTAACACATAACTCCAAGCGGGAGTTTGAACCCGCGTCTCACTTTCTCGAATGGCTCATGCTAACCACTGCACTAGCAGAACTGGAGCCCCCCGTTTGTGCAGTAGTTGGCAGGGCCCTCCGGAAAAGGTGTGATGCGGGTTTAATTTCCGCCCGAGGTCAAAAGTCTCGTTTAAGCTTTCCACCAAGCCGAGGAAATGATTAGCCTCTACCGAGATTAAACGGAGGTCTGTTTGTGCTGGCAATATCTCAAGTTCATCCGTTTGTTGAATGTTTGCGTATGATTTCATAAGCGAAATGTGCAAATTTATTGCGCTCTAAGGGAGTTTCAGCTTAAAATAATTCATAGAGCAACGTCAGGAAAGTAAATGGCAAATTTTGAGCAATGAGTAAATTTCGCCATGTAACACAATCTGCGAATAATAGTTTGGGGAAAAAGTTCTGAGAAAATGCTTGTAAAACATTTATTTATGCACCTATTACACCTGAACAAAGACAAAACTAATAATCCAATTTTTGCTTTTACTACTTTTTTACTTCTACTACTTTTACTTTACTACTAAACACCGTACTTTTGCCAACTTGTGTCTTCGCCTCAAGCCAATTGATGCGTTCACTTACCACCGCTGCATTTGAACCAAACAGCCATTCGTGCATCATCAATAACTTAATTTGCTTCGCTTGTTAACTCCATGTTGAAATAAGTAGATAAATTATGTACCAATCAATGTGGAGAAGACAGGCTTTCAATTGAGCCCAAAAACACAAGAAATGGCCGGCATTTAAGAAAGTTACAAGCATTTTCTCAGAACTTTTTCCCCAACCTATCACTTTTGTTGGGCGAGTTTTTTTTTCCATTGTAGCCACATTGTATAAGGTTTAGGACGAGACTGAAACAGTTCGTTGTACTTTGACCGAATACCAGGCAATATGTGGTACTTTGTGGTTATAAAGGGACAAATGGAAAACACGACCCCATTTTTCGGAGAGGTACTTTCCATAGGACTTTCAGTAACCATTCGATAGCTGAGACTTCATGCTACAGCCCCCGTCCCCGGGTTTTCAAAACACCCTTTTTGTAGCAATGTTAAAACAAAGCTTTTTCGAAAGATGGCGACATAGGGCTGTACCCTGAACTCTTAGCCTTCTAGTGGTTACTAACACTTCTATGAAGAGTTTCTTTCCAGCGAATGAGATAGGTTTTTCATTTGTACCCTTCTAACCGCAAAGAACCAATATAATGTTCTTTATATTTAGGAAGTTCTACCACCTGGCGAACGGTTGAGGATTGAAGTGGATGGAGGAGGTTGTTCAGGATTCGAGTACAAAATCAAATTAGATCCCAACTTACAAAATGATGACCGACTTTGGAAAGGCGACAACGTTGAGATCGTCATTGACGAAGTGAGTCTGGTACACTTTTAGTCCCTAGGTTTATTTCTTGCTATCCCTTCATAGTTTACCTTTTTTTCCATAGATGATTCTTTTGCGCAAAGATAGCGCTTTCATTCCTAAAGTACATAAAGTTATAAACCAGAGTATGGAATTGAGTTCTGTTGGATATTTTGGTTGCAAACAAAGATGTCAACTCTTTCAGATGTCCCTCGGATACATGCGTGGAGCAACGATTGACTACGTGGAAGACCTAATGAAATCGTCTTTTCGTGTTGTGAATAATCCTATCGCCGAGAAAGGCTGCTCATGTGGGTCAAGTTTCGCCTTGAAGATGGATTAGCCGCGATTTGATACTTGTAGATCGATTATGTTCTTTGTAATGGTATTGTTCAGTGTCGCATCATACTATTGTAAGCATTAATCGCTTCATCTGCCTTCTATTCACCTCTTATTCGTGATCTAACGTAGTGTTCCCGTGATAGTTGAAATCCACTTACTGAGGGTCCTAACTTCTAACCCCCCCCTCCCCCCTCCCCGACCGCATAAGCCGTCGTGTCTATCCAGATCTATGGCCAGCAACAGCAATCTTTTCTCAGTGTTTTTCAAGAGGTAGTAATGTCATGCTGGCCAAAGTTGTCGTAAAGCAGCGCTACTGAGCCGTGGCACATACATGATACGATTACCCTAGAACCAAGAACCAATGGGTAGTGTAGCGCACTGAATAATGATTTGGTGTATCAGGAAATAAGATGGTAAGCAAGGCGCTAGTTCGATTCTCTTCCTTACTGCTCTCTTACAGCGAAACAACGAACGCCTGGGGAATGCCTTAGTTCACTATTTACGACATTGTCGTTGACCGTTTTAGCAATTGCTACTCATGTGACTTCTGAAGCGCCCGTCTAGCTTCCTGCTATAGTATGTGGTCAATGAGGATTCAGTGATTCCTTTCAGAGAGACAATTCTAGTCAAGGAAGGAGGAGTTCCGGGCGTTTAAAAGCGGTCAGAACAAATAGCATGAGGACGATAGGCCAGTCATTTGTTGCGATAAAACTTTGGCCACTTTGGACTTCAAAAGGGCCAACTGCCGAGTCTCTGGTAGGTAAATGCAGGGTCAGAGGCAACTGAATAACTTTCATAAGGCGCCTGACGCAGCTCTATGGGTCGTGTGTGTATTCTTACACCAGTGGGCGGCCAATATAGTCTAAGTAACAATTCTGGGGGTTAGTCAAGTTAAGGTGCTAGATGATTACTTGGAGGAGAGTGTAGGGAGTAGAGATCGAACGGATGCGTTGCTTATTAACCTTGCTTCCTGATGCACCGCATCACCAACCACTGCGCTACCCCACACCATGGTTCTTGTAATGCGTATAGTAAAGACATCACGGCTGCAACGATGATGGCTTCATGATTTCTGGGGCCAAAATATCTGGAAACTGTTGTTGGTAGTCTCATTCATATGAGGATGTGTTGGTATTGGGGGGGAGGGGCAGGTTCTCAGATTATGTTGTGCAGGCTAGTCTAAAGCCTCTACTGAGGCCACCTCTCTCTGAATAAAGAAGTTAGGCGGTTAGGGTTACGATCCTTTCTGAGTGGGTTTGAATTGTCATGGGAGCTAGGCCCTATGTAAAGCTTAGTGGAATTGATATAAGCAATTTCTCGTCCTGTATAAAATTGTACCCATCAGAAACTCACGTTTAACTCAGTGTCAATTAAACCGGTTTATAATTAAGGTAGTCTTATTTTATTAGCGTTAGGGAATCTCTTAGGGTTTTAGGTTTTCCATCTGCTGTGTAGACTAGAATCATGAAGCTAGTCACGCGATGTGTTCTTTTTCGTTCGTACTTGTTAGGTGAGAATTGTGTAATAAAGTCTTTCTATGAATTTAATTTTAGTGTTTCACTCACTGGCACTAGCCTTGTGCTTCATACTCAGATTTTCCAATTCATGTATTTTCGTGAATTTGTCATGAATCGGTCTCGTACCTTCACTGGAACAAACATGATCAATGCTAGGAGATGATGTCATCGATGTGGACGAGGTCATGTGTGATGAGGTTAGCTCGGAGTATACAGCGAAGCATCTCTTCCAACACTGACGCATTTCCGAAGAAGTCGTTGTTGGTGGTATTGGAAAGATTATGGCCATAAAAGCAAAAACAACAGCAAGTAACTGGAGGTCAAAGAGGTGAATCTCAGGCCATATTTTTTTTAGAATTGAGGATTTAGTGTGATAAGTCATATTAGTGGGTGACTTTGTCGTGATCTTCTAACCCTTTCGGAACCGTGGAATTTGCCTATGCATCTCTGACCTCCAGCGTAGCAACGCTGGCCGTCTGCTGCACCTCCCATGCATCTCTAACCCTGGCTTAGAAACACATTGGATGTATCATCGTATCATTTCAAGTGTATTATTGTTGTTATTTTCCTATGTTATATCAAATATAGATATTTCATGTTGTTATAAGTGGCAGGATAACAACATTAATACACCTGATAATCACTATTTGAGCCACGCATGTCAGTGGTCTGTCAATGAGGGCTGACTTATAGAGCCCGATACGCGTGTTTCGGTCTTGCGATCTCGTCAGTCGGGCAGTTACCCTTTCTCGTCTTTTGCCAATCTCTGTGGGTGCTCCAGTCCCCACACTAAGAGTTAGCGACGACGAACGTTTTGCACTCTATGTCCAGTGAAAAACTCACCAAACACAGAGTGTGTACACTCGAATGCTCGTGGCTAGTATATTCAATATATCATATCTAAACCTGTGTTCGATGAGATTTTCACTGGACATAGAGTGTGAGTTGTTCGTCGTCGCTAACTCTTAGTGTGGGGACTGGAGCACCCACAGAGATTAGCAAAAGACGAGAAAGGGCAACTGCCCGACTAACGAGATCGCAAGATCGAAACACGTGTATCGGGCTCTATAAGTCAGCCCTCATTGACAGACCACTGACATGCGTGGCTCAAAAAATGATTATCAGGCATATTGAAATTTGAGGAATGGTCTTAAGAAAAACACTCGAAACGAAACATTATTACAATTGAAGTAATACAGTGTTGCATTTAATGTGTGCCCACGCTGGGTGTGGAGATGTAGAGGAGGTGGGTCCACGGTCCCGATAGGGCTAAATATGAAATTCTCTAGAATGTGAGTGGTCATATGTCGCAAATGCACCTCTGTTGGGTCTGTCTTGGCTTGTCACGATCAAGGATTTATTAGGCATCGAACCTGTACAATTAGATAAGGACGAATTGAAAGAAAAGGTCAAACAGGTAC